CTGTCTGATCTTGACAAGATGTAAGCTTTCCATTTCCCACAGCAGAACAGTGGAAGGCGCACAAACATTTTGACAAGGTACTGTAAGAAGCTTAGCTGGAACTATTTTTAAAATATCATAATTCAGGTGAATGGGGTGAATTCATGGAGGGGGAATTCACATCTTTGAGTGTACCTACTCCCATCCTTAAATCGATACTAAGGATGCTTAGCTAGGACCAGTCTATTGACTGTAATGTATGTCAAACCATAGCAACAGCAGCATGCTTCTCCTCTTAATAGAAAAAGGTAAAAGGAATGAACCGTGAATTTACTGCATAGCTCCTAACTCTGCTTTTTCCACTTTCCTCTAAGGTAAAGAATCCCTTCTTTGGAGATGGGTTAATGGAGCCTGTAAACTGCGGTCTGGTTCTCTCTGGCAGCCCCATTAGCAGCTTCAGTTGCCTTCTTTCTTCTTGTCAGGTATGTGCAAAGAAAGTTCTGTGGTTTGCCATTTTAAAAAGTCAATGGAGTCATGTGGTGCTCGGAATGATGGTCGCGAAACAGTAAATGTCAGATGCTCTAAGCAGTCTGTCCACCAATTCTGCTTTCAGTTAGCTTGACACACAGTGCCAAGCCTAGCGCGTATGGTGCTAGGCGCGTCGTGTCCCATCAGGAGCCGTATGCGTAATGCAAAATATGAGTTATGTGCAGCATGTGAGGCTCCGAGCACTGCTACCTCTGACAGGATACTTCAGTGCAGGGTGCGTGAGTTGGTTGATTGAATGTGTGTAGGGCAGATGAGCAGGAGTTGGTGTTATAAATGCTAGTGCGGCCGGGGAAATCTGCAAAGAGAGGACTGGTGGTGCAAGGGCTCTTTAGAGGCACACTACATTCCTGCCCAGGCTCTTAGGGATTTGGATCCATGCCTAAGGGGAGCAGATAGAAGACAAAGCTTTGAAATGCAGTTTTAGGAAGCTTTTGTCCAAAGCTTTAGACAAAAAGTAGCAAAAAGAGAGGCGAGCTGCTATGCAGCAGTCTCAGGTTTATAGAAGAACTATACAAAGCATATGTTAGTCAAAAAATCCCCCTCTTCCTAACAGCAGAGAGGGAAGAGAGCAGCAGCTACTCCCTCCCCGAGCAGATAGCTGGAGATACGAGCAGTGTGCTGCGGTCAGCCTGTGACCCATAGGTCAGACTAGCAAACCCAAGCTTTGGGCTGCTGCTAAGAGTGCTCCCCTCCCTCTTCAGGATGAGAGGTCATTTAATCCCTGTGCAATCCTCTTTAGGCAGAGAAAACTCTAGGGAGTTTGCTTGCAGTTGTCTCCCCTGCGTGGACAGAGGTCGGTCGCTCTTGGGATTCCTTGTACATTCACTGCAGAAGATCTGCCCCTTCCCTCCCCCTTTTGCTCAGCCAGTCCTTCTGAAAAGATGTGATATATGTCTGTGTGCATTATTGTTACTGCTTGCTTTTCTGTTCAAACCATGTCAGCCTTTCCAAAAAGACATAGTTTCCCCATCTGGTCATCAGCTGTGTAGATGCAATAGCAACTCTGGTTAACACTAGCTTTGATTTGTGTTTAATATGAAACTTTCGGGTAAAGTTTCAGCTGCCTGTGTTTCAAGAGAGGTTGTGGGCTGGCAGTTTTTTTAGCTATATATATATGGCCTACTGAGATCAAGATTTAGCACTGTTGATTCGAACTTTCATATGTTGATATATAAGTGGAGTCCTTAGATGAGCTGTCAGTAGAACTGACAATGTAAACAAACAAACACAAAAAGGGACTGACAGATGAAAAAAAGTCCGCTACTCACCCAAAAGTTCGCTTGGGACTTTTTATTCTTTTTTAAATGAGAAGTCAAAGCAAATGAATAAACAGGTTCTGACCTGCAGGCTTTTTCATATGTAGACGTAAGTTCTTAAGATCTAAACTTTGCCTATACTTTACCCAGTGTTGGAGAGGATGGAAAAGAATAGCAGTTTCTTCCGCCTCTGAGGACCAGAAGAAATCTGCTGATACTAAGAACAGAACCAAACTGGCATGCAGTGATAGCTGAAGTCGGGGCTAGCTTAGACTTTTAAGAGAATACCTAAAAGACATGGAGTAACAGAATATCTTTTCGCCAGGCAAGACTATGAAACACTGGCTCTCTTGCCATGGGACATGTTGCCTTGAGATGTAGAAGGGAGGCTTCCAGCACCCTAAAATAGCCCAATTTCCTTTTCTGCCATTTGGCCAAGCCTTTACCCTCTGTTTTTTGCGGTATGTGGCACCAAGTACGTTTCAGATCAAACATCCTATTTCTATTCAGGCTTGATTTGAAGCTCTAAGCTCTTGAGGGAGAGCAACAGAAGTTGATGATCCTGTCAGTTTTAAGCGAAAAAACTGACTTTGTAACCTATTCTTAAATTAACCCATCATTCAGGCCCGGACTTATTTATTTTAGCAAGTGAAAAATGTTGTTTGTTAACTAATACCCAAGTATTGGTAGATTTGTATATAGTGCCAATATTTTATTATTATTTTTAATTATGAACCTTGGATCTTCTTTCCTTCTGCCATTGAATGGGAAAGTAACAAATAAAGCTAGCAAACTCATTAAGTCCTCCTTGACAAATGGGAAAATGCATCATTGAATAGTTTAGATAGAGATGTTTGTAGGGTTTTTATGTTTTCTTGTGTTTTTAAGAATTCAAGTTTCCCTAAGTAATAACATGTTTTGGTTCTCTGAATAGCACCAAAACAATTATGAGCTTTCCAGAATGGATTTTCAGAATATAACCTTGTAAATGATCATGAAGTATATTTGGCCCTTTAACAAATGAGTTTAACATCTTAACCAACTCTGTTTAAAAAGAAAACTCTCTGCCTGGGCAAGCCGTCATGACTGATACATATTCTCTCCATTTCAAACTGATGGTCTTTACATCAATTTTATCAAAAAAAGATACTTTGGAATTTTTTTATTACAGTGAAAATAAGATACCATTATATTCATATGTGTATTCCCCACCAACACACACACATACACACAAAGAAAAAGTTCACTGTATATACACTGAAATACATCATACTCAGCATGACCAAGACTCTCCTAGGCTTATGCACAATAAATACTAATATACATTTCAGATATGCAAGATCCCAGCTGATACAAACGGTTTGATTTATATCATACAAAGGGTTGGTACAGTTCCAAATTCTCCACCAAACCTTAACCTTACTAGCATTCAAGTGTGTGAATTTCCTAGTTTAATTAAGCATTTTTCATTCTGTAAGTGGAGCAAGATGTAAATGGGAAAAAATGCATGTAAGGGGATAGCCTTCCTCCCCCCACGTCATAAACCACATCATAAATGCGCCGTGTCTTAGCAGAAGGAACCCAGCTAGCCAAGTTGCACTGAAACAAGTCTTGAGCACCTTCTAGGGCACGCAGTTACGGTGATCACAAGGCCTTGGTGCACCAACCCTGCTCACTTGCTGCAAGAGCAGCGAGAGCCTGCGGTGCTCTGCGAACTTGGGCTACTGTGGGAGTCCTTGCATCACCACGCTGATCTCTGTCTCGCAACATCTGGTCACAGTGATATTAAGCAGATATTAATTATGAATACTTTCCACAGCCTTGTGCTGTTTGGGCTTGTTCATATATGGTTCATATGGTGCAATGGTTCATATACGCGTTTGCTTGACAGATGTCTCTGATCCCCATTCCCTGCCACTCAAGGCAAGTAGATGCTGTGCAGGGTCCTCCAGAACCTGTTTAGATCGGCAGCCTGTGGACAGTAGGTGGCTGTTACTATCGCTTAACTTTAAAAAGTATCAGGTGGCTGTTGGCACATGCAGGCCAAGAACTGTTGACTATTATATTTGCAAAGATTAAAAAAAAAAGCAGCTTAGCTTTCTAGTAGAGGCAATGTGAGATTGTTAGCACTCTAAATTTAGCAGCAGTGTTAATGCCTTAAATAGAGAGATTTGGTGACCAGCCAAAGCTCCAGTCTTAACATGCAGTCCCCAGTCTCTTCATGACTTCAAAACAAAATTCAGATTTTGAACCTCAGGAGGTCTCTGTATCAATTCAGTTATTTTAAAATGCTCCAGGCTCCTGCGTGAAGAATTCTACACTGGCTTCCGTTAGTCCAGAGGGACCTCATGTGTTTTTTCCCTTCCCCATTAAAACCTGCTGCCATCTACCAAAAATGCATGCACTTAAATACCACAGCCTGATTTTGAAACAGAGCTGGCAGGCTATGGTGCAGTTCAGTAAAGAAAATTCAGATATTGATTGGCTGAACTGAACGTTAAATAAACAGCATGTACATTTTTAAAAAGATAGGTGCAAATGCCACTTTAGTATTTCATCAATAAATTATGCACCTGTTTATTTCAATAAATAATTCCATTATGAAAAATGAGGAAATGCACAAGAAACGCTTAACTTATATTAAGTTATAAAAACCCAACACATCGTCAATATACAACAAAATGTTAGTCATCTATTTTTTTCCAGAAGAAGCCCCTGTTGTGCCCCAGGTTATGTGTCTGTCAGGAAGAGCTGGAGAACCAACAACCGTCTTGGCTGTAAAAACATCACATTGTAGACGTTCTGCCCCACCTTGCTAAGGTGGGGAATGAGGCCGCTGAAAGTCAGAGGTGCTGCTTGGTGTTGGGGGAGAGCATTTAGGCGAGCTAAATGTTCTGCTTTGCTAATGTCAAGTGACAAACTAAATCAGGCAGCTGTGCAAGGAAATTTTTCCACTGAGTTATGTTTGAGTTTATAATAGGAATGCTTTAAAATAATACAAATACTATTCTAGCAGAATAGCTATAGCCTACAAAGCATTCATGGGCAAAACAAATACTTCTTTCAACTAGAGCTATAAATATTTCTTTCAACTAGAACTTTATACTTGTGAAACCATTACAGTAGCCTCCAGTGACAGGAAGAATGCCAGGCAGAGATTTTAAATATGTGTTTTATTTTCCATTTGTGCATGTATCTTCTCCTTTCCTGAGGAGATTTTTTGCCTTGGTATACAAACTCTGACTGTCCGTTTCAGATTTAAAGAAAAATGAACTTTCATAACCCCTGCCATTCTGATCACCTCTTAGGAATGTCTCTTAATGCAGAAAAGTCAGAGGCAATCCAGATAAACAGACATTCATACATTTTAGCCATTCATTGAGAAAACATCTGTACCCATCCATGCGATGTTAAGACTATAAGTAACTTTGCAGTTACATCTGAGCCCATTGCTATGGCAACAAGGTAGTCTTTATCTCCCACATGTTTTCTATTGGTTTCTTTTTCTTTTTTTTTTTTTTCTTAAAGCAGCTTCCTGAAATGAAAAACAGAAAAGCAATGATTAAGTTAGTCTTTTTCAAATTTTGGATTCAAGGCTTATATTAAGCAGCCCTTACTGTTTTCCAGCTGTGGAAAACTTAGAAGCTGATCCTTTTCAAGATAAAAAAAAAAATCAACAACTGACACTGAAAAATGCAAGCTGCAGTTATTTTCAATTTTTAAAAAGTATAGTTGCTGATCTTGGACCATGAGATTTGCTACTGCATCTATTTTTAATCTGCTTCCAAGCAACTGTAGTATCTTTCAAACCAATAGAACTATCTCTAACTTTCCACTTGCTGCACTGAGAACAACTCATAGGAATGTATAATGCAAACATTTCTACAGTCTCTTCATGGTTAACTTTCATCAAAGTACACATCTCAGCTTGGTAAGTTATTTGGAAATGTAAGCTTTTAATTACAACCTGTGCCCACAATCTCTATTGTGCTAGTGACCTACTCATTTTTAGCAAGCTGGCAAGCCTTGAGAACTCTAAATAGACCAAAATGCTTTTAAAAATTGTATTTTAAATTAAACAACAAGCACCACTAACTATCATGAAGGAGATAAGAGGGTTCTATTTATGCCTTAAGGACATAAGTTGATTTCAGTTCTTCTGATTTCTGATGCCCAGTAACTTTAGAATTCCTTTTCACTGTTCTTAACATCTTTTGTGGGCATCTAGTTTGACACCACTAATTTTAACTAATTTAGAAGGTATCAATGTCTTCAGGAATAATGTGGAAATCTTCACCTAGGTGTCCTAGCACTTCAAGACCCACCACACAGTACAGTAATGTAGCAAAAGTCACATGAGAAGACACACACAGAATGATCCAAACAAGATATTTTACTCACATTTGATGCTGCCTAACAAACTCTGCAAACTGACGGTCTTTAGCATATAGCTCTATAATTCGAATTCTGTCTTGAATTTCCTAAAATACAGGAAACAGTAGGTATATAAAAGAACAGAAATTAGAATATTACTGAATATTACTGATAACTGAAAGAAGGGAATTTTATCCTTTGCTGTTTCAAGACCACCACCTTGAAATGGGACAATCCAATATTAAAAGTATGTATTTACACTTATTTTTAAAACGAAGCCCTGGAGTCTAGTAATACTTCACTGCTAAACCATAGCCAGAATTTGGAGAGCTGACATTTCAACCGAATTTAGCAGAACCATTCATCTCTAATAGACGCTTTGCCCACAAGCCCAGTTACAGGCTGGATTCACCTCTCTAGCAATTGTTCAAAGCTTTATTGTTACTTCCTAAATATAAATCCCTTCTCTTCAGCCCTAGATATTGTGTTTGCAACGGGGAAGGAGAACAATGTGATTAACTTACTGGCTATAAAAAGATCTGAACTTTCAAAAACCTATATAGAGGCTCTATAAATGTGCTTGCGGATGCCATGGGGCCCTAAAAAAACAAGGCTACGTCTAGCAACATAGGGGGGTGGGTAAGGAGAATTATTTCAGAGGTCAGATCCTTTATCATATGAAAGTTCCCCAGTAGCAAGCAGGGAAGGAAATCCTTTCGCTCTCCTCTGAAATATTTGCAGACAGAGTTGCAACTTGCCCAGCATATAGGCTGAAGGGAAGGTTGAGCCCACCTCTAGAATAACAACTTCTGAATAAGACAATAGTTATTTGATGTTTTGGATGTCTCTATAAGGCCGAAATTCACTCACCTCCTTAGTAAGCTCGCTGTTTTCATAAATGTGCCTTATCTCTTCACTGCTGTACTCAGCAGATGTCTCTGCACTGGTCGAGCTGTAGGACGTCAGCTGGGGGTACCTCCGGTAGTAGTGGCTGTAGCCGGTGGTATCGCTTTCGTACATGGGGTTGTACTTCACCGCATTCTCAATGGACGAGAGGCTGTCACCCTGCCTGGGGAAGCAATAAACACACGGTGAGTTTCTCCGCAGCCTGGGGCCGCAGCACATGGATTAAGGAAGCCTGGTGCTTAGAGGTAACTCCTTTTGCTTGTCAGCTGGGTGATGTGAGACTTAGGACAGAATTGTAGTCAAAGAAGACGTGCTTTAAAATATTAGAGGTGTCTTTTTACCCCAGTGAGTCCTCAGTGTCACTCTTCGTGTACTGGTCTCGAAGGGTCCTGGCCAGAAAGAAGATTACAGCAGAGGCCACCAGAAGGAATCCTGCCACCGACGCGATTGCAATACCCACAACAAGCGGCTCAGACACGTACTCTTCAAAAAAAACAATTCCCCCCTACCCCGCACCTGCAACAAAAGCACACTAGGAAATAAAACACCAGCAAAAAATGCCACTTTGGTTAATGTGAGTTTGGCAGGCTCTTAGTTAAGTTACCTCGGTAAATAACCTCTGCATTTTCAAAGACCAACTTTTTCTTTCTTTCTTTTTTTTTTAAATCATCAGCAGCCTCTTTAATATTATTGAGTTGAGTGATTATTGGTAGAAGAGTACATGAATAATAATTTGTGAAGGTGAACACTTGCGGCTTTTGCTACTTAGCTATAGTAATAAATCTTGTGACGTAAGGTGTTTAGACTGAGTTGAAAGGTGTTATGCCTTGATTCAGTCTTCCACAAGATGTATCAAACACTAACAAAACCGTGTTCTGCCTGTAATTATATTGTGATATAATGCAAATGAAGACGTGTTAAATGAACAGAATATTTTTAGAGTGTAGCAAGCTCCATACAGGGCAGTTAAATAAATATGTAGAATAGATTGCTAGAAATAAAGAGGAAGTCCATTGTATCATTACAATTTTTCCCCAAAACAGCATTCATTATTTTCACCTGGCTTTGATATTGAGCATGGGAATTCATAATGTTGATGCTGACTATAAACATAATTATTGGGATTTGGATTGGATTTTTGCGTTTAAGGCTTTTTACTATAAAAACCTGAAGAACTGTAAAACATTATGACCGTTCACAAGTATGAACCTCATTAATTAGAAGCGTCAGTAAATTACATCTTTTAAGAAACTGTTTCAGATACTTTTGCTAAAGCAGTAACTGTTTTTTTTTTTTTTCATAAAGTTAGTTTTCGTAAAAAGTGCCTGGAGCATGTTCACCTCTTTCTCATAAACCCTATTAGATAATTATGATAAAATCTGTCTTACACATGTAAGAGTACCAATTTTTCATAGCTTTAAAACATTTTCTTTCTTTTTTTTATATTAGCTGTTAAAATGCTTAAGACTGACCTGAAAAAAAGCAAATTGTAGGCAAATCTTTTAACAAAAATCACCTGATGTAACATAAATAATAACTTTTAGTAGTGTCTTGCTTTTTTACAATATTTCTTCCTGACTTTGTTGATAGGTATGTTTTGTTTCTAAACATTGAGAAGGGAAAAAAAAAAAAAGAAACAAAGAATCTAAGTGCACTACCATAAAGAGCATATATTTAGCTATATATTTTGGTACTGTCAAATACTGTTCAAATACATTTGTAGCGTTAAAAAGCTAAAAAGTGAAACTACTTGCATCTTGATCTTTATGCACCATAAATGATTTTTCTCATGACCAATAATTTTACTGTTTTTTCTTTAAAAAGATTGTCCATTTTAATATTTCATCCCTATTATGCCTTTAAAGTCAGATTATCTTTGTGATAGAATAGTCATAGATGTTTTATTACGTTATGTAACATTATAGTACTTAAGAAAATTTCTGAAGGTAAATTCTTTCCCCAAAGATCATTGAAGTGATTTGAACAACTGAGTATGTTCCACTGCCACCATCTCTACTAGTTAGTTTTCCTCTTAACCTTTCCTTCCTATTTCCGCTCTACTACTATTTCCAATTTCCTCTCTGCTAAGGAAACTTTCTCCTACCTAATTTGTGAGCTTTACATGAGAAAATTAACACCGGGACCTCCAGTCAGCAGCATTAGGTGGATGTTAGTCATAAACATCCTTCCTCTTACACATGGTTTTGCAGAACTTGCTAGGGAATACAGCAAAAGAGGCAATAAGGAGTTTTAATACTTCAGTACTTCAATACTTGAGGCAAAAAGAAGACCCACCTACATATAGCCCCTTGCCCAGGGCTTATGTCACACTTGCCATCGTTCAGGCAGAAGTTGGGTTGCAGATCACAGACGCTGTTGCATGGCAGCCCATCGATGCTGAGGTAGCCAGGATAGCACACACACTCTGCTTCCCCGCTCCAGCGGTTTACTAGGCATTCGGAGAACTCATTACAGGCCTGGAATTTGCAGGGATCTGCCTGATCACCTAAGAACGGACAAGACAGAAAATACTAATAACCTTAATGGGGGAAAAGCACTTCCGCTCTCTTGCCCTGGGGAGTAGCATTTCTAATGATCTCTTAGTTACAATATTCGCCAAAATCCAGCACATATCATTCATTCTGCACAGAGATCTGAGGCGCTCATCTCTGCCTGTAAAATGGGTGTGAGTGGTACGGCCAAGACCACCCACACAAAGACATACACACAAAGAAGTATAGAACATTTTCTTTCTGGAACATGCTGTTCCTCTTCTGTCACCTGGGATGCTGTTTTGAAAGTGAATAAACCAAATCTAACCTCCAGCATTCCTCCTGACAGAAAAACTAGGCAGTAACACAAGGAAGGGCAAGGTGACTTCAGGCAGTCTGTATCTGTATCAAGAAAACATGAGAGGCTCGGGAGAGCTTGTATCAAGATTAGGAGGGCAGGTATACTATTAAGTGATTACTATCAAAAGATTTTCTACACTAATTAGACCATCTTTATAACCACGCTGTCTGAGAAAAACAGCTCCCATTTGCCGAAGTCTGCACTGTTATTTTCCTCTAACACTATAACAGGAAATGTTTTTGAGTTACCTGTATGGTAAACTGCCGGCTGGCTGGGGAAAAAAAAAACCCAAAACTTTCATCCTGTATCAGAGAAATGAATTAAAAGGGCATAAAACTTTTTACTGCTTTCAAGTCCTGAACTCACAAATAAGTTAACAGTTGTTAAAAAGCAAAATGGACACCACTCTACTCGCTGACCAAACTTCCTTCTCACTCCGAAGTGGAGGTAGAGTGGCATTACAGAGAGCTACGCGAGTTAGCTGTGTCTCTGGGTTTCTGTAGGGGCCCCATATAATCTACTCGGTCTGGATTCATCCATTTACTCCCCACATGGAATTTTTGGTTGTTAACTCTCTGAAGGACTGTCTTTCTAAGAAGCTTTCTCCAGTCTCTGAAAAG